TATTTGAATTTCTTATTCACATAAGGCTTGAGACTCTTTGGTTTACACTATGGTGAGTTCTAGCCATACCTGCCTACTATGGCAAATGCACAAACATGAGATTTTCATCCTAGCTCCTCCCCACATCCTTGTCCCCAAAGTTTCTTTTTGCTACCTGACAAAATAAAAAGAGAAAGAAGAAATATGTTTGGGTGTTTTATTCAAGAAAATAACAGTCCAAAAACTTAGGGATGTTTCACTCCTGTGTTATATTTCCTTCTAATCATAAAATGTAATATGAACCTTCACTATATGGGGAAATCTTCACTTATTGTATACTCTGCATTGCTGATCATTTGTGTAACTGAATAAAATACATAAATAGAGATTGCACTTTTTGTTCTGTTTAGGTAATTGGAGGAGGTTTAGGGGTAGTTTTATCAGTGACTGTCCTCTTTCCAGGTGATTTAAACCCAGTATGACTGTTCTTATGTGACACATGGTGGAAATGTTCATGATTCAGGCCCTGCCCCCATCTCTTCAGGACAGGTGTGCAACTCACCCTACCTATGCCCCTCCCAAACTCTTCCTACAATCCAGGAGATGGGAGTACAGTATAAAAATCAGGTTCCACGGCAGAGATATGACACAGTGACTTGAGGGCTATAATGAAAGTTGAGATGATACTGATTGAGCTTCGATGTTCTGTCCTTTATGTTCAATACCAAAGATCTCAGACAAGTTTAGATTAGATTATTAGTTGGCCAGGGAAGCAAAATTATAGAGAAAATAAAGGGTTGTTTTTCTCTGCAAGGTCTTTCCATCAGCATTATACTAACACAACAGAAAATTACTTCAAAAGGTTTTCAATTAGTATCAATTCTCCTCCAGCATGCTTGACCTTGCCATTCTGCAATGGGTTTAAATTGCAGACTAGGACATTAGGAAAAACTTCCTGTCAGGGTAGGTAAACACTGGGGGTAAATTGCCTGGGGAAATTATAGAATCTCCATCACTGGAGCTATTTAAAAGCTGGTCAGCATTGGTCTACATTAGGATTGGGCAATCATTTTTTTGCCAGGTGCCATTTCAAAATTTTTGTAAGTGGCCCAGGATTGCACCAAAAGGGGCGGGGCTTCAAAAGGAAGGGGTGGGGCCAGGAGGCTTCAGGCTTCCCCACCCACAGACCATGATTGGCCTGGGGGTGTGGGAGCCCTTTTGCTCCCCCTTCCCACTAAGCACCCATGTCCCTGGTGGTGGGAAGAGAGTTCACATGCTCCCCCGCCCCCAGGCCAATCAGGGCCTGGGGAGCACGCGAAGCCTCCTCCCGCCCTGCCAGAAGTGTGCAGCACTTCTAAGTGCCATGTGCGCCTCGCAAGACAGGGGCAAGGTGGAGGAAACTGTGCATATTTTCCCCCACCTCCAGGCCCTGATTCTGCACGTTTCAAAGGGGCAGTGCACTTGCCAGCTGATCCTGGGCTTTGTGCAGCATTTCCCCAGAACCTGGGATTAGGTTCCACTGTAATGCTGCGCAGAATCAGGTCACCTATAGTTAACATTCCTAGTATTGACCTTTTAACTAAGCCATTGACAAGAAAAATTGTTAATATTCAAGGAAGGAAAGCAAGGAAAAAGATATGGATACAATCAGAAAAACTAGCTAAACTACAGCTTGTGGATATTTGGAGAGAAATGCAGAGGAAAAATTATATTTTTACTCTGAGTTGCATCTCTGTCTCTAGAATTGATTTAATTTGTACTGATAGAAGTAATCTTCACAGGGTAGAACAAAGTGAGATAAATTATATCATTATTTCAGATTATGCCTCTGTGTAGGCTTTAATGAGCAGTTCATTGGGACCAAAACAGACAAAGCACTGGGTTTTTATGACAATTTATTGCAAAATGATAATACAGTTAAATAGCACAGAGCAGATATCAAAGAGTATATGTATAAGTGCACATCTGTGAGTCCACCTTCACAGAATAATTTCCTGTCATTGTGGCAATAAAAACAAGTGGCATGAGATTAGACTGCAGTATATTTAAAATTATTGAGAAATAAAACTGGGAATTTATGGGATAAACAGTTTAAACAAGTTTTACTCAGTGGGAATGATCAAGAATTCCTGCAAACTTAAAAATAAAAAGGAAAGAAAAAGCCTATCCATATCTAGGTAGAAAGGATGGGGGCACAAAGCAAGAAATAAAGAGCAGAAAATATCCAGGCCTTGATGTGTTCTTCACTAATGTGGATCAATTTTAAGGGGGAAATATCTCTCTATTAAAAAGGATTTTGTTGAAACTATGAAAATTGTCCCTAAGTTGACACAAATCTATAGGTTTAAAACTTAGGGTAAATCTTTTAACCACTGCATACATCCCTTTAGCCAATGTCAAATATAGATTTAAAAATCCCTGTAAATAAATTAGTAATGAGGATCACTGGAAAGTTGATTAGTTGTGACCAAACAAGATTTAAAGCTACCAAGCAGTCTCTTTATACAATTTGAGACGAACAGTAGGCTTTAATCCTCCAAAAAGATTGTCATGGACAGACTTTTGTGCCAGCATATTGTCCCCTCACTGGTCTTAAGTACCAAGATCTTTTACTTCTTTCTTTTGACTGAGTCCTGGTCTACATTACAGTATTGGTCAACATAAGGCAGATTTGAAAACCAGCTCCCAGGGCTTCCTGCCAGGCTGCTGCCAGTCTCTCCACTCTCTGCTAAGAGCATTGCAGCCAACAGGCACAGATCTCCCCACAGGAAGCCCAGTTGCCGTCCTGGGGCGCTCCACTCCTCATTGGGAACAGAGCAACTACACCAGGGTTTCTCAGCTCCCTGACAGGAATGGTGCAGTTTCACAAGGCTTCTCAGCTTCCCATCAGGAACAGGGCAGCCATACCAGGCTTCCAAGCTCCGCACTGGAAACAATGCAGCTGCACTAGGTTTCTTGACTCTCCACCAGGAATGGAGTAGCCAGCTGGACACAGAGCTCCCTACCAGGGACTTGCTTGGCCAGCCAGGCTCTTAGCTCCCCACCAGGAGCATAGCAGCCAACCAGATTCCCGTCATTGCTCTTCCCACCAGAAGCCCGTCCTCCCTGCCAGGTTTTCAGCTTCCTGAAACACACTGAGAGCATAGCTGCCTGGCCAGGGAGCTCCAGTTAGGTGCCATGGTGGGAGAGGGGGCACCTACCCCATTCTTGGTGGTGAGGGGAGCCAAAAGGAGAAGACAGATGGTTCTCTTATCTCAATGAAAGCACTCCTTATGAGGATGTGCACCACCAACTGAAGAATAGCGGTATGGACATGAATGTCTGCAATGCTCTTTTTACTTTTTAAGCCTGAGCCCTATGAGACTGAGTGCAGCTGATTTTTCTGGGCAGTGCAGATGTCAAAAAACCTATGACTGGCCCATGCTAGTTGATTTGGGCTAGTGGCTGTTTTGGGACTCGGTTTAAGGGGCTGTTTATTTGCAGCATATACATTTGGCCTTGGGCTCACATAGTTCTAGCACCTTCTGAGGCGGCAGCCCAAGCCCAGACAGCTACACCTCAATTAAACAGTCCCTTAGTCCAAGCCAGTCATAGGTGTCTAACTACATTGTAGACATAACCTTAGGAGACTAGCACAGAGATTAAGCAATGCTCCCAGACCTCTTGACACTGAAGTCAATAACAGAACTCCCATTGGCTTTGAATGGAACAAGTGCATCTCAAGATTTGCTAAGAGCGAGTTCCCTTTTAAAAATAATCTATATTCAAAAACAATCCCTTCAGTTTGAAGGTGATTGTTAAAGCGAAGAAAGCAAACAGAAACCTCATCTCCGAGGCCATGTCTTTGATAAGCAAGGACCAATTAAATAAGAACGTTTCCCAAAGAGTGGGTGTCCCAGTAAAATTAACACTTACTGAGCAAAGTGCCTCCATTGGATGAAATGACATTATGCTGCAGAGCAAAACTTTATATCCTTTTTACTGGCGGTGGAGGGGGAAGCCACAGGTCAGGCAGTAAAATACCGTTCCTAACTCCAGAAAGGTTAGAGTAAAATCCACCCCAAACCTACACCAAATGAAAGGAGAGGTGGGAACACACAGGGAAAAGCCCGTCTTGGGGCAGGCAGACAGACACAGACTGCCTCCCTCCCTCTTCCTGGGTACCCCGCTGGGTGTGGCCTCTCCCCGCCCCCTTGGCCTCTCTCTCTGATGATTATCTAGAGAGGCGGCGGGGCCAGCGGGAGGAGCTGCTG